TTTCCCCAGTTTTCAACACCATACTCCGGCGTTCTATACTGACTCCCCCTATTTTCACTTGCAGGTCGTTATCTAGTTTACGATTACCAAATACTATACATTTTGTTTTACCCATATTCAGAGATAGTATATTACTATCACACCATTTCTTTATCTTCTCAAGTTCCTGTGAAACCTGTCCCGATAGTTGCTGTAGGTTTTCCCCTGATGCCCATATGGTAGTGTCATCAGCAAATAAGACCATTTTCACTAAAGCCGAAACCTTGCACATATCGTTAATGTATAATATGAATAATTTCGGTCCCAAGACTGAACCTTGAGGCACCCCACATACAATGTCCAGATCACTCGACTGATGTCAGAAATTCATTCTGACATTTCTGTCATGATGTTTCACCTGCTGCTGTTTGAGCCCAGCTCTGCAAAGCTGGACTCTTCTCTTTGCTGCCTCCACTCTCTGTTTTACAGTAAAAGGTCTTGGTCTTATACTTGTATAGCGCCTTTCTATGCTTTTACAGCACACTCAAAGCGCTTTCACATTATTCAGCCATTTTAAGTGTGCTCCTTTGGGAAGGCATTGCCTAGTGTAATCGCCCAAAAGGGACATTACAATTTAAAAAAAGTGCACTCCAATTTGAACATCACAAGTTATCATCTCATAACGATAGCCTTCAGTGAGACAGTTAGCTATGATTGGTCCAGGTGATAGCTAGTTGCCTTGCATTACCTGGCGATACTGTGTTAGACAATTGTTAGACCTTAATGTGTTAGTAATGCAATTTAGTAAGATTCAAAGTCTGCTCTAGTCTGTTCTGTTTCAAGGTTAGCAGACAGAAAGTTGATTCTGAAAAGTGAAACATGACACCAATTGTTTTCCTGTATAAATCTTGTGTTAGAATATTATATCTGAATAAATGAATGAATGCCTTAGCTACACACCACGTGACAACATACACACACCTTGAGATTCTTCATTTTGTTATGACAACATAGAAACGCAGTGGAGCTCTAGATAAGAGAGGGAGTCTCGGACTGACTTCATCTGGGTAAGGGGTTAGCCCAAAACTTATAAATGTATTAGGCTCTGTGTGGCCAGGGACTCCACTTTCCAGCAGCCAGTGTGTGAGTTTCTGGAAGGGGGATCAACCCAAGTCGTGTTTGTAATTTTTACTTGTGGTTTAATAATAATTAGCTACACACCACGTGACAACATACACACACCTTGAGATTCTTCATTTTGTTATGACAACATAGAAACGCAGTGGAGCTCTAGATAAGAGAGGGAGTCTCGGACTGACTTCATCTGGGTAAGGGGTTAGCCCAAAACTTATAAATGTATTAGGCTCTGTGTGGCCAGGGACTCCACTTTCCAGCAGCCAGTGTGTGAGTTTCTGGAAGGGGGATCAACCCAAGTCGTGTTTGTAATTTTTACTTGTGGTTTAATAATAATAAAATAAATCAGCACTAAATGAAGAAAGATGGACTCATTCGTTATTCAGAGCTGTCCAGTTAAAGAACTGGGGTATTACAACTGCGCAGCATGACGCAAACGTGACAAGCTGCACATTGTTTGGAACCATATGCGGAAGGTTTTGCTGATGACACCTCCCACCCTGCACACTCCCACTTCAGACTCCTGACTTCAGGGAGGGTATCGGAGTCTTCAGGCCCACTCCACCAGACTTACAAACAGCTTCATTCACCAGGCTGTGATGAGGCTGAATGCTGTTCACTACCTCCACCCCCCCCTTACAGTGCACATAAAAGAACATTCTTTGAACAATTTTCAAAGTGATGAGAGGCAAATAATGTGGCACCTTCTGCATCACCTTGAAAGGCTGCAATACAAGGTCCTATGTTTTCTTTTCACTGGTCAGAAAAATATTTTTTGCACCTGTTTATTCATTCCCAACATCCCCTGTCTTTCCACTGTGTAGTCTCAGCCAGGGAGTTTTTAGTATAGGCTATGTGAAGGCTTATACGAGCTAAGACAAAATTCTAACACACCGCTGTTTTTCCCACTTCTTTTATCTTTTATACAAACTGACTTCATTTCAAGCACAGATGGTCTTTGAAAAGGTAAAGAAGTGAACATGCACCTGTGTTCATGGTCTGCTACAGCTTTAGTGTGGTCACAAAATTCTTAGGGTACATTAGGCATACCAATAAGATTTTATTAAATTACATTCTTTTGTTTTTTCAACTTTATGACAAACAAATCAGCAAATCAAATATGCATGGGCTGTGCACTGAATGTCTGTTAAATCGAAATAAACTCTAAAGAGTGTCAGCATGTTACGATGCCCTTTGATACAGTTAAGTCCAGTATATTCTAGTATGTTCCAAGCCCCATACGCCCACAGATCAGGTGTGAGAGCAACACATTCAGGTCTGTAATTAGGAGAGCTGATGGTTCACCATTAGATACAGGTGTACTTCACTTTGCTATAATTTATATCTAGATTCACTTTGTTCAGCCAAAATCATTCAATTAAGTAGTATGCTGATAAACAGTGGTGGGCTGGAACTGTACTACTACTACTGGCTACTTACAGTTTTGAGGCATCTGTACTTTCCTTGAATATTTTAATTTTCTGCTACTTCATACTTCAACTTCACTACATTTCAGAGACAAATATTTGTTTTACTCCACTACATTTATTTGTTTACTTATTAGAAGCAGATTAAGTTCAAAGCAAAAACGATATATACTGTAGGCCTGTGTGAAGGGTCACTTCACCTACATTACTAATAAATAAGAATATAATTATATCTGCTTCTCTTTAGTTGTTATCTGGTCATTTAGATGGCTTCAATTTGAAATAGCTTCTGAAATTTCAAAAGTATAATGCCAGTGAATAGACTTTAGTTTGTGGTACAGTGACAATTCACATCAACATCAACATTCCACTGAAGAAATAGTCCCTGTGAAACCTGCTGACAGTGTTGGCTGGGACACTCACAGCGTGCTCTCACAAATGACAGTATTGGAGCATGGTGTACGCTGATAACTTACATCAAAATGGTATCATTCAAAAATTAAATTTCAATAAACAACCATCATAATCTCTCAAAGAAATATGTTCATGTTTGTTGTCATTTACCAAAGTTTCTACAGAGTGCCAAAGAAATTATTCATTCAAACAAACCACTGTCCAAGTTTAATCACAGTTTGTAATATGACTGAACTTGACATCCAGAACATCTTGCTCGGTGACCTGAAAACACTCATGTACAAATTTTACAGACATTCGCTGGCATCTCACTCTAAGTGCACCTCTGAAGTTCCCTTTGATCTGATCCAAAGACAGAAAAGAAGTTGCCCTCCAGGGACCTACTTCCACTTTGTTCACTAATCTCGTTTGGTTGATTACATGGACGTCAAGTGCTCTGCACAAAGTGCTCATTAGTCCTGAAGTAAACAACACCCTCTGTTTCTGTTTGGTTTCCTAAACAAACTGAACCTCCAAATATTTGTAGTGTTTAAAGGACAGAAAATAACCTTAACTCTGACAAATTCAGAGAGTTTTGCAATTCAAAGTATCTTGAAAAGTGATCCGTTCTGCATTCAACTTTATCACTGTGAAATGAACAAACCAGCATTCTGCAAAGACTTTTGACTTTTATTTTTTACATGATTTACATTGCATGACTTACTTCTGCTTCAATACAAAATACAAGCCATAGCTTCAAAACAGATTTTACAAATCAAATGTATCAAAATTTAAAACATGTGGCCTTGAAATAACACCCAAGAGTCCTATGTTACAGCTTGACTTGTTTAACAGCAAATATTTCTGCCATCACACAGTAATCATGATAAATACAATTCAGAAGTTAAAGTTTCATATTAAATGTCAAGAAGTCACTTAAATAAGGCTTTTTCTGATTGAAAAACAATTAACTAGAAATGCTTACAGGGAACAGAAGTTATTTACAATTTATAAATATTTAAAAAAAAAGATAAACCACTAGTTCAACATTTGGGAAATACTCTTGTTCACCTGTTTCCTGACTGTTGTAAGAGAAGACTGATATCACAGCCATGTCTGTAAGCAAAATATGGAGCCAGCATTCGTTAGCTTTAGCACAGTGACTGAAAACAGCTGTCAGGTCCGCTTGGCGCAGCCTGCCTCTCTTCCTCCTTTCTCTCTCTCGACCTGCGGGATCTGCGCCTCAGCTGTGTTACATTCGGTAATTAGTGACTCGTTTGTCGGTGCGCACAGCTGAGGCGCATTCCAGTGATTACTGGATTACTCATTTAAACTCCAGTGATTACTGCCCTTCCTCATTTAAACTGCTTGCAGACGTCATCACCGGAGCATTACCTGTAGACATACCTGTATGCGTATGCGTATGCGTATGTGTCATACGTCTTTGATTTCCATGCTGACAGTTCTTGTGCTGTGGTTCTCTTTTGTACATTGTTTCCATGTGTTTAGGCATGTGTAATTTGTTTTCAACGCTGACAGTTCCTGTGCTGTTGATTTCTTTTTTTTCGTTCACTACACTGCTTCCCTGACGGCGTTTGCTAATCCTCCTGGTTGTTCTGTCTACTCACCTGTCCGTCCTAGTCCTCTAACTCTCCTGGTTCCTGCCGTTGTTCTGTCTACTCAGCTGCTTGTCCTGGTCTCCTCAACTGTCTCTGCCCTACCCTGGTTCAGTACTGTATATTGCCTCTTTTCTTTGTCTACGCCCATTAAAGCACCTTTTTTTCCACTAGCACCTGGGTCTGCACATTGAGTCCTACCTCAGTTCTCCCTCACCCTCCTGGTGAGGGGGACTCAACCTTAACAACAGCTAGTCTTGCTCAGTCCAAAGGAAACCAGCTCCCCCTCCCAGCACCCCTAAAGTCCACCAACTACTGCATTACAACTTGTTAGTTTAATTCAGAGGTGTAAACGCGGCCCATGATGGTTTCACTTTACATGGAGTTTTGTGCCAAAAGTAGTGACATCCTGGACTCTCCGCTGCTGCCTGTCAACCCCCTCAGTGACAACAGGACTCACGGAAGTCACTGCACCTGGCTAGGAAACAGTCTGGCACATAATCCCCCTTAATATGTCATGTGTTTTGCTACTTTTGGATAGAGTCAGGCTAGTTGTTTTTCTGCCTCCAATCTTTATGCAGTCTGGTGGTGGCTTCATATTTACAATACAGATACAGATTACATCAGTCTTCTCATGTAACTCTTGGCAATAAGGTGAATAAGCATATTTCCCAAAATGTGTGTTCCTTCACTCATTAAACCAAGTAATATCTTAAAGTGATACCCAGCATGAAAAAGAATGGCAGCAATACAGACTGTACACCTGTGTATAAAGCGGATGTGCTGTCAGTGTTCATTATGTCACTGCTAAGGGAAAGGGATATGTGACAGGACGCTTTATTCTAGCTGCATGCGATTCCTCCAGAGCAGTGTATTGTGAGCTATGATTTTAATTGAGCAAAGTGGATCACAAACTTTATACTTATCCACTGTGGTCAATAAATCCTCTCTGTAATGCTGCCGGACAGTGAATGACAGTCTTATTATGAAGCTGTTCCCGGCTCCATCACCACATGAGCAGTTGACTGTTGTGAAGCTGTGAACCATGAAATCATCACTCAAAGACTCCGACTAATATGATAAGTAAAAGGAGGAGGAAACCTGCAGCCCCTTATATGGCAAGGAAAAGACGTTTCTGCCAGAAAGAGAAGGACAGGGGAGTGTTTGCTTTTGAAGAACTGCATCACATATCCTTTAAACCATTCAGCTAAATAAATTAATTAATGGATATGTGGCTGGATGTTTGTGAATGTGGAAGTGCTGTTACCTCACTCTGTCATCAGAGTAGACCTCATCCAGGTTTTCTTAGTCCAACAGACAGGCCGACAATTAGTGCAATGACAGCAACCAGGACCAACAGGGCTAAGGCAACGATAATGTATTTCTACCAAGAGGAGAAGAGCCAGTTATTTGAACTTCAACTGAAAGTAGGGTACCATTAAAGAAGCTATAAACAGATACACTACGGTAGCTTTAAGCGATCACGTGGCTGAGGTTTGTCACTTGATGTTTTAAATCTTGTATAACTGAGATGTACAAATGTTTGTATTTGTGGCAATTTATTAACACAGAAAGAAAGACATACCCTCCGGGATTTCTTCTGGTATCTCACTGCTTTTTTGGTCTCTTCCTTTGCACGGAAAACATATTCGACCGCATTGGAAACATTCTTTTCAATGTTGTTAACCATCTCCCCCTGTTATTAATGAGAGAATCCAAATGCTTTTATTTATTATGTCTAACAAATGAACTTGGTATTACTGGTAAAGAAACATTGTGGCTACATATTAATCCACTTCTGAGATCAGAGGAAATACTATATCACAAAGTACACATTATTTGACAGATTCCTAATTGATAAAGAGTGGCTTTTACCTATGAAAGTTTCCAGTGAGAATTACCTGAGTTTCTACCAGCATTGCCATGTCCATGAACATTGCATGGAGCTCTCTGACGCTCGACTCCAGACGCATGATGTCCTGGTGTCGTGACTCTATCTCATTCACAGCCTGGCGTGAAATCTGGGAATCAGAGATGATCTGAGAAAGAAGGAGAGACAGACATGGTTAAGAAATCTGGGAATCAGAGATGATCTGAGGAAGAAGGAGAGACAGACATGGTAAAAAATCATCCATAAACAGCAAACACATTTCCAAAGGTGTGTAAAAACACATACTACTCCATGTTAAATGGTTTACTTCTGCTCGCCCACTAGATGGCAGTAATAGCCTTTAAACCTACAACAAGACTATGCTGTACATTAAGAATGAGAAAACTTACATCACATGTGAAGATGGATGGATTTCCACTTTCTAACATGTCCTCTAGTTCTTCGTTGGTAGTTACTCTTCCAGCTAAAACAATTTAAAAAAAAAAGGCGAGAAGTGATTATATCTAGCAATTGTATGAATTAATTACTTTATGGTTTACCCAGCAACAGATTTGATGTGGTTGTTTGCCCACAGTCACCTCCATGTACTTGAAACATTAAACTTAAACACTGATGAAAACTGAGTAAAACATAGTACAATAAAGCAACGCTTTTTAAAATTAATAGGCCTTTTTGACAGCAGACATTTTGCCGTGTTGGAGTATGAAAAACATAGGGGTAACTGACAACATCGCCACTAGCCTGTTCTATTGAAATGTCCCAGTAAGCCATAACTCTGTAACAGCGAGCCAGGACATGAACCTAGTTGTGGCATACAAGGTACTGCAGTAAACTGGTTTAAATCCTATCTGACCAACAGGACCTTCTCAGTTAGCCTCAGAAGTTTTACATCCTATACAGCACTTTGGTCAATTCATGTTGTTTTAAATGTGCTTATAAAAAAAACTTGAAACTAAACCGGCTAAATGGAAGTCACCCTTCATACACTTTATTAGTGGTGCAAAAATTATAATATAAAACAACTATCTGTGACAAATAATGAATTATCTAATGTACTCCATCAGTAGTGAGTGTTGCACAAGTGATAATAATGTAAACAACAAATGTTTGTACTTAGCCCTGGTACAATGTATACTGTTGTGTGTGTGTGTGTGTGTGTGTGTGTGTGTGTGTGTGTGTGTGTGTGTGTGTGTGTGTGTAATCCCAGGGTAATACATTTGCCTGGTAGAGTTGTGCATCTGCTGTGTCTCTTCTGACTGGGCCAACTAAAAAAATTATGTCTCTACAGGCGACACCACTACAATCCTAATGCTGATTTTCAGAGATATATATGATGTACTGTACTGCTTAGTGAAATGACTACTTAAGGTGCTATTCCAACTGTAAAACCTGATAATGGGTTTGACAGTGTTAAAGTAAAGAGCACTGAGGGTTACTTCTGAAGTTAGGAGACACTGTGAGACTTTTTTTTAGGAGCCAAATGATTTGGAGTTTTGGAGGCTAAGGAAAAACTCTAAATGTCAGCGCAACAGTTGTAAAAATGCATCAGAGATCTGTTAATTTAGATGATTTATTGTTCAATTATAGTCATCATAAGATTCCTCATGTGTCCGGCACACCTGGCCAATAAAGCAGACTCTGATTCTGATTAGAGCTGTTTGAAATACAGCTGATGAAACTCTATAATCAGAAAGCTTTCTTTTCCTGAAGCCATGCCTGCTGTTGTACAGCATTCTCCCTGGAGAGACAGACCTCTGTGCAGGTGCTTTCTGTGTGTCACATGCCTTTTGTGATCACCTATTCCTCAGAGAGACAGAGCTGAACCGAGCAAAACACATCACCACCAGCAGCTCATCAACAAACATCCAACATAAAAGGTGTCACTTCTGAATGATGTAAACTGTAAGTCTGGGACAGTGCAGGTCCAGGAGCACGTAGCCATGTCAAAGACAGGTAGACTGCTGCCGCTGAGCCCTCTGCCTGTTTCCCAGGCAACACAAACACAGTGAGGCGTCTCCGGTATCAGGCTTTCTGCCTGCAGTGTGGCGAAGCCTCTCATGAATGCTTGCTGCAGGGACTGTGGGAGACAGTCCTAGCTTTTGCCTTTCACTTTTGTCTCCTGTTACTCATGTACACAGTAGTGCCCCTGATACACACTGGATTTGCACTTGTTTGTCACCGTAATTCTGAGCAGAGGTGACCAAACACACGCCTCAGACTGGTGGAGGTTATGTGGTTGTCTATTTACAAAGACAAACATGTTGAACACAACTTAAAACTAATAAGCTTGTATTAATGCTATTATACCTACTGTACATACTAACTTATAGTGTATATTTAATAGTTTTCATTATGCTAAATCTCACTTAACTAAATGTAGATTCTGTAGATTATGCTATAGACAGTAAAGGTGCTGTTTAACAGATCCTTAATTCTGGTTTGTCAAACATAACCCTGGAAGGTTATGTGTCTTGATATAATCAGTTGATCATTTCTGCTACTTCAACTACTGCTCATTTACGTTCCATCAAAATTCTCACAAAACACTGAAAGTCCAGTGTCTGGATGTGATCGGGTGTGATTTTGGTATGCGCAAAAGGAAAAACCCTGTCTTGTCCTGCTGCTGGTCTGTTTATCAACTGTTAGGTTAGTGTCCAGAGAAGCGAAGAGGAAACCAGGGTGGTCTGTTTCCTGGATCCTGCCCTAACAAAGCCTCAGGATTCTATCTGTTACTCTTTACCTCCAGACTTTCAAATCTAGCACTCACAAATCTTGTACCACACGACCAAATTCGAGCTACTCAAGCATCTGTACTAGCATTCTACCTCAATAATAATTATTTAAAAGCTTTAAAGGCTATTCTCTAAATATAACCTGGAATTTCAGGGTCACGGGAGTCTTATTTGTCACTTACTTATCTCCAGCTGTCTCTGGATCCTTCCTTTGCTTCTTTCCCGAAAGGACACTTGAGCCTCATTGTACTGGGTCATGGCCTCCACAAACTTCCTGGAGAGAACTGTGTGCTGAGGTGAAAACACAGTGACTGAGGGTGAGAATGCAGGCATTTCAAACTGCAGACTTTTATAACTTAATACCTCATAGAGGAGTTCTGTGAAAGATGCTTCGATTGTTGCAATTAAAAGTATATTTTAATAGGTATTTCTATGCAAGGTTCAGAATTACACACACAGACAAAATGCGATGCCAGACACATATTGAATTGAATATCACATATTGAATGTAATATGTGTGTATGTGAGGAATTAGCAGTCACTGGTTTGTTTCCTGACCTGTGTTTTCTGGATCCTGAAGTCAACAGAGGATCTGTTAGCTACATCATCTTTGGGCATACTTTGCTCCATGGCTTCAGAGGGAGAGAGAGTTATGAGCATTTTCAGCTTCATCATGTAGTCGGTAAATATCAAAGTGAGATAATAATCACGTCATGGTTCGACTCACATTTTAGTTTGGCTTGCACCACATTGGCAGTGCCTTTGATATCGTGGGTTAATGCATCCAGTTGATCCTTTGTTCCTTCACACACACACACAGGAAGCACGTCGGACTGGGTTTGTTAATTGGAAAAAATAATGCCATCTAGCTAATCACTGTGAATCTGCCTCCTGTAAATATTGGATTTACTATGATATCATCCGGTAACTTGGCAACAACCTGCAGTGTTACACAGGTCCTACAGCACAACACATGAGCCTTTTAGTTCTCTGGTGTTTGTTTTTCCACATCTTGTTATATGTTACAACCACTGATGACGTCATGGCAGTGTAAACTGGGTAATAATGAAAAATAGGACAGCACTCCAATAAACAGATTGTTTATCCTAAAGTCGTACGGACGTTTCTGGGCACACATCCTTCCTCAATGTCTGAACCAGCAAGAATACTGCAACTAAGCACAGGCGAACTCAATCAAGTGCAACTGCGTATCCAGTAGGGACACTTGTAAATCACATGATCATCAAAAAATACCAGACAAGCCCAGCATCACAAATTCAGTGAGAAAGTTTGAACTGCTCGTTCAGACCAGAGCGCATTAAAGTGCCCTAGTGATGAATCTATTGAATCCAGTAACTTTTTTTCTTGGTCACCTCCATGTCTAGGAACGTGAACAACTTCAGTGCCTATAAAACATAAATCACTGGCTGTGTTTAAAATGCCTGGCAACTGCTAGGCGATTGCTAAGCATTTCAATGCCCTCTGGTCAGACCAAGGAACTTAATTTGTGATGCTGGGCTTGTCTGGTATTTTCTAAAGATGTGATTTACAAGTCTCTCTGTTGGATACACGGTTGCACTTGATTGAGTTATATAGGTGCAGTATTGTTGCTGATTCGCACACCGAGGAAGGGCATCAGCCTGAAACGTCTAGGCTACAGTATGTAAGAATGATTATAATAATTCAGGGTTGAGTGTGTTTTCTTATTATCAATGTAAACTGGGGAGCACTGGTCTAGCAGTGTCCCCAGGCCTGAGCTCCAACAATGAAAACAAACATTTGCAAATGACAGCATAATTAGATCTCGTATTTTTAAAAGATGGTCCGAGTCAGAGCCAGCACTAAAATGGTGTGTGAACTTTGGAGGCAAACCTGCCGTTTTCCTCACAGGTTTCATCCAGGCAGCCAAACATTTACAGTGAGGAGGGAACTATAACAACGTTAGTGAAGCATTTGTTGTACTGTCACTCTGTCTCAAATGCTCAGCCAAAAAGTTTCAAGACCCTTGAAAGCACCAACACTGAAATTCAAATGCTCTGTCTCCATCCTCATTTCTTATAAAGACACACACTTACTTTGATCTGTGTTGGGTGCAGACAGAATCATGCTGTGAATCTTCCTCACCTCTTCCACTTGGTAGGAGAGCTTATCAAGGAATCCCCTGACTTCTTCCACCTAAATCAACCAAATAAAAAATCAATCAGTATGTTGGATCACCCTATTTAAGAAAACCAGCACACATTATTCAGTAAAACCCACCCTTCTGAAGAAGCTCTCCATGAAGGCATCTCTGTCCACTGTGACTGCAACATCCTCCTCTGCTTGGGTCCAGCTCTGTAACGATGTCAAATGCTGTTTGAGTGACTTTTTGTGCAGCCAGAGAGTTTTACCTGTCAAGGTCTTTCCAAGTAAAGCATGAAAAGACACTTACAGCAGTCAACTCGGCCAGTCGATCCTTCATCACACCGATCAGCTGAGCGCGTCTCCTGGCCAGGTAACTAATAAAACACCCACTGAGTCATCGGTAAGCTTCCATGTGCACAGGACTGAGGTCGAGATAGTCGACTTCAGATGAGTTGACCTGAGAAACGCGGCAGCCCTACATTAACGGAGTTAGGGAAGAGCGCGTCACATGGAAAAGTTTAATCCTATCTGAGTTTTGAATAGTAGGAGCTCTACAAAATAAAAGCCTAATTGTTTTAGGTCTGCTCTGTTTCGATCATTCTCATCGTACCACGGCAACAGATCTGTAACAGCTCCACACTATCTGTTTCCCCCCTGGACACGCCTTTTCTCCTGCCTCTCTCTCTTCCTCGCTCCCTCTATCTCCGCCTCGGGAGGGCAGAAACTAGTCCAACCTCAATTCAATTTGATCAGACCATTATGACAAACTAACCAAATTAGAGTAATATTATTCTATTTTTGACTGGTGGAAGGTACAAGGCCATATTATATTGCCTCCATTAAACACTACTGTTAAGTAGCCATCACTGTCTCCATGTTCACTAGTCTCTTGTGATTTATAATATGAAAAACAACGATGTTTTTTTTAAATCAACAGCAAACACACCACCAGCCAGTTACATGAGAGGGGTATAAATAATAGATGGGGCAGGGTGGTGACTAAACTGCTGACACGCGGTGTCGCTGTTTACCTTGATATGTATGCAAAGGTGACTTGGGGAGCTTGTGACGGGGCTGGTACTGCTGCTGATGACGTCCCCACCTGTGGGTATGGCCCAAATGATTCAGGAACAACGTTTTTCTACGCTACATCATTTCATACATCACAGTAGCAGGACATACAGTGTGTGATAAGTGTTTTTTATTTAGTGTATCTCCCTTCACCTTCCCACATTGGTACCAATAAAAACGTTTCCAGTGATTTCTGGGGGTGTTGTCCTGGACCCTAATTTAATCCAATATCCAAATTATCCATGAGACCGCATGTTTATACGCATCGTTTATCGAAACAGTTATTGGATTCATTGCATCTCTGGAGCTATTTGGGCCGCACTGGGTAAATCCTGATCTCATTCATTCCCCGCGCAGTCTCCAATTTCGCACAAATAATGCCATTTACGCACAGCACTGACGCTCCTCCTCAGAAGATCCAAAAATGACATCACGTTTTGCAATTCCCACGTTCAGCCCAACAGCACAGTACGCCTCCTCGGACCATCTAGGCTCCTGGCTATTTCCAGATGCAGGCACAGAAACTCGCAGACACTGGTTCAGCATAGGAATATCGATCACGGATGACACTTTTCTGCACGGTGGAAGTTGGGCTCCAGATTATCATGAAAGGGCAACGGCATGGCAGAACACTAAATTAATTTCTTTTTATAGTGAACTACTGTTATTATTTATATGTGTTTTTAGGTTTGGACACATGGACTTATCAGAAGTTTTCACATCTATAATGAGTGTCCCCTCCTGGATTCATCTTTATTTGGGGATTTAACAATTGTTTTAGAAAATACTCTAGGATATATTGTACATTTTTTGAGAAACTATGGCATTTTCTTTGCAAACTCACCTTTTTACAGTTTTTATCTCCTGTGTTAAGGTAAGCTTATAAAAGACATTGCACAAACACCCTGTGATCATCTGTTGAAGCCTTATATATCCATTTGCTTTCATCACAGGTTTATGCTCATGTGGTACAACCTGCAAAGCATCCAGGTAGTAATGAATTTTTGTATGTATGTATGGCGTGATTGCTATCAGTTTTCCATGCTGTTTTAAGTTGCCACATTTGAATAAGATGACATTAGACAGCTATATTTTGGACCACACAATGAACGGTGAAAATATAGTGTGCTAACTTTCAAGCCACAGGATGTTATTAGTTTGTTCACACTCTTCTCACTAATCAAAACAGTCCACTACATGAACAAGTTTTGTTGAGTTCATTATTATCAACATTTAATCTCCCCCAAATCCAAAATGGATTGAACTTTTAATAAAGCGCCTGATAGGGGGAAAGCTCTTTCTGGATGTTTGTTTACCCGTGACCTCTCCATCCAGGCTTGCAGGTGTTGGCCACAGCCTCACACTACTGGCCTCTGGATGCTGTGGACGGAATCCATGAACTATGGGACCAGATCGGAAACAAACCAGGCTATGTTAACGGAACTAACATAAGTATGTGCATGTGTAAACAGACTGTATATAGTCATGGGAATGCACCACCTGAATGCCTGTTTCTTCTGAGTGCTCGTTGCATGGTCTCAAGCTGGTTTTCACCAGCCACCTTCCAACCACAGCCATCATGCTTTACAATGTATTAAGATCTTTTATATTATATGTTGTTTGCTATTGAAATTATAGGACAAATATCTGGCGTGTTTAGTAATGTGTAATTTAAAATGTTGCAGTACTTTACATATAGTATCCTATAATCTGTAGCTGGTAAAAGTCTGACAAAATGTAAGGGATAGCTCTTTGTGTCTGCAAATTTTCAGTCATCCAGGTCATAGTAAGCTGAAAAAACATAGAAAAAAATCATCTGGACTTGGTTTTCAAGCCTCTTGGATGAGTGATGAAATGTCTTAAAAACCAAATGTCTTCTATGTAAAAACAAGCCAAGATGATTTTTTTCTATGTTTTTTCAGATTTTTTTTTTTTTTTTTTTAATTGGTGAAGTGAACTGAAAGATAATTACTTATTTTCTATAAGTGCAAGTTTAAAAAAGGATATTATTGAAGAGGGATCAGGTATAGACTGGGGCATGATGTGTGGAGTCACTCTGAGTTCTGTTTGAGCGCTGCCACCGTGCACTCAACTCAGCATCACTCTGTCTCATACCTGCACACCACGTCCCTCCCATTGTCTTCCTTCTCACTGGTCTCTTGTGTCTCATGTAGGTGTGAATCACTGTTTTTCTCTGTTGTCTTTGTCCAGCTCTCAGAGTCCACAACCATACTGTGCTCCCTTCTTCCCATAACTCTTCCTATGTGTGTACCAATGACTCTGCCTACACTAACATTTCTGCAACAGTAGGTGAGGATCAGTCACTTTCCGCTCACTGAAATTCATCTGTTCATCCCCCACGGCTTTCTGTTGTCCTCTCTGTATTTACACACAGCTGAGCACAGCCTTTTATGCTTTCCTCTAGTCTTTTGTCTGTGCAAGTCAAAGTGAGGAATTCAAAGGCTTTTATTTATTTTTACTGTTCACTGACTTTAGTCAAACTAGAATTGCAACATATTGATTTGTTTAAGCCGCTCTATTAATGCCTGTAGGTTGTTTTATAGAATACCAAGAAAGTTGTAAAATCTGCATTTTCATCAGTTTCATCAATTTATGATTAGTTGTCTATAAAGGGAGTTTGGATAATGTGTTGCACAAACCAATAACCAAGAATTTTGACTATTTGGCACTAAATAGACCTACTGGCTGCAAAACACTGCTTGGCATTTTCAGGCTATGCAATGCCCTAGTTCTGTTTGTTGTCGCAGACATTGTTGAAGGAATGGTCAACAAGGGCATCTTTCTGAATGGAGATAATGGCGGTACCTTTCTTCACTTTGGGAACTACCAAAACACTTGCATTAGTGACCCAACTTTGTGTGGCCCTCAGGGTGAGTACACTCTAGTTTATGTATACAATAATGTGGCAAAAATGATAATAAATCAAATTATTTTATTTACTATGTCAGTCTTAATGGTTACACTTGCTTTTCCATGTTGTTCTAGGGATTACTTTTTCCTTTTTTTGGAAAAACCATGAGGCAGAGTCACGTTTTGCTGTAGCCTCTGGAGGGAAAGTTATCTCCAATGGCTTCTCTGTCTATATCAATAACTTTGGAGGATATGTGGAGTTTTACACTCGAGGCAACAACCACAGATGGAAGGCTAACATCAGAGTTCCAGGTGAATGAATCAACCTTTACATTGCAGTTCTTTAAGTTACATTTCCCCTAAGCATCCATGAATAGTGTACTGTATTTTAGTCTTGGTGATATATTGCTTTTTTTTTATCATAAATTGTTAGTTATGTTGTTGCATTCAAGGTTTAGTTAACTCAAACCAGATGTAACCACAGCCTTTTGATTTGGCTAGTAAAGGATGTTGCTGTATCATAAAACATAGTTATTAAGGAGATGCAGTTTAGCATCTAACCATAAGTGCAATAACAGCAGTGCAGAGTGCACAGTATCTACAGTATCTTTGTTCTGGAGGCTCCTGAAGCGCCTCCCAGAGGGCAGGAGGTCAAACAGTTTGTGAGCAGGGTGAGAGGAGTCTTTGAGAATACTGTGAGCATATCGGAGACAGTGTTCCCTGTGGACACCCTCAGTGGATGGAAGTGGAGTCCCTGTGATGCGTTGGGCAGTTTTCACCACCCGCTGCAGCACCTTGCGGTCGGAGACAGAGCAGTTTCCATACCAGACTATGATACAGCTGGTCAGGATGCTCTCGATGGCACAGTGGTAGAGGTCCACCAGGATGGCTGAAGACAGGTGGTTCTTCAGTGTCCTCAGGAAGAAGAGGCGCTGGTGAGCCTTCTTAACCAGGCTGCGGGTGTTGGTTGTCCAGGACAGATCCTCTGAGATGTGGGACCCCAGGAATTTGAAGCTGGAGACACATTCAACAATCATCCTGTTAATATGGATCGGGACATGTGTGCCTCCTTTCTCCCTCCTGTAGTCCACAATGAGCTCCTTGGTCTTGTTAGTACTAAGGAGCAGGTTATTGCAGCGCACCACATGACCAGGTGCAGTACCTCCCCCCTGTAGGCTGACTCATTGTTGTTGCTGATGAGGCCGATCACCATGGTGTCTTCTGCAAACTTGATGATGGTGTTGGAGCCATGCAGATCCCTGCAGTCATGGGTGAAAAGGGAGTAGTGGAATGGGCTCAGCACACAGCCCTGCGGTACGCCAGTGTTGAGGATAATGGTGGAGGAGCAGGTATTGTCTGACCTAACATGCTGAAGCCTGTTGGTAAGAAAGTCCAGAATCCAGTTGCAGAGGGAGGTGCTCATGCCCAGGTCACCAAGTTTGGTGGTTAACTTGACCGTGTTAAATGCTGAGCTGAAGTCCACAAACAGCATTCTTGCATAAGTGTTGTTGTCCAGGTGTCTGAGTACAGAGTGCAGTGCTATGGAGACTGCATCCTCCATGCTCCTATTCCTTCGGTAAGCAAATTGGTGGGGGTCCAGTGTGGGTGGGAGACAGGTCATCAGGTGTGCCAGGACCAGGCACTCGAAGCACTTCATGACAATGTGTGTGAGTGCTACAGGGTGGTAGTCATTCAGGCATGTCAGGGTGGAATGTTTCGGCACTGGCACAATGGAGTTGGTTTTGAAGCACGTCAGCACAACTGCTCGGGTGAGGAGCATTTTAAAAATGTCCGTAAAGACACCAGCAAGCTGTCCTGCAAATGCCCTGAGCACGCGTCCAGGACTCCCATCAGGGCCAGCAGCCTTGTATATGTTGATCCAGCTCAGAGTAGCATACACATCAGTGGAGGTCAGTGTGCGTGATTGGTGGTCTGCGAAGGGTCTGAACTTGATAGCTGTCTCCTTGTTGTCCCGGTTGAAGCAAGCATAGAAGTCATTTAGTTCATTGAGGAAGGAGACATTTGTGGTTGTTGGGGTGGAGTTGCTGGGCTTGTAGTCACTGATAACCTGGATGAAATGTCAAACACTGTAATGGTCAGAGTATGACCAATACCGTCAATTCAATTTCTAAAATAAAATGTGTATTGTAATGAGATGAAATGATGTGTTTTGACAAAGGAAAATAATCCATATGAGGATAACACCATGTGAAATGCAATGTAATCAGTGTTCTGGTCACAGGGCATCATATCTTCATTTTGATTTGAGTGAGGATCAGATGACATCTTGTTCTTATATTGTGTGACATAATGTTAAACTGTCAGTTCTCCTGCATTTCACATGTCAGTACAAGTTTGGTTTTGATGTCAGTGAAGACTATGAATGTTACATTTTAAATGGTCTACACTCAGTACATGAAGAGGTGAAAAAGAGAGTTTAAATGTTTTAGAAGGGGTGGTCTGGCACATATGGTTCATATTTTAACCACAAATGAGACTGTGTTCTGTTTGTTTTCTCACAAATGTTTTCAAACAGTGAATCTACTGTATTTTCTTTTGGGATTCCTTCAGAGAAACATTGTGAAATTCATTGCTAAAAGCCAATATGAACCGTTGCCTTCAGTTCTTAGGGGCACACAGGATCTAATAGAAAAAGTTTAAAGTTGAAACAGACTACAAATCTATTTGTCATCTGACAAAAAAATGTATCAAAAACCAAGCTACTTTTTGATTTTGTGATTATTTTGTATTGTTGTAAAACTTTGGTGACCCATCAACTTTTCATTTAGTGCCGTTCAGTATAAGGCCCAGTTTGTCTATAGACAATGTTGCTTTTGTGTATGAATAGATAAATACCTGCAAAGATAATGACATCAGCCACAGCTGTTTATGTTTTGCGGTAATTAGTGGTGAGTAGCTGTACCTGCTAGCTATTTGAGCATTGTTATTGTTAGCATTTAGCAGCGCCTCACAGAGCTGCTAGCATAGCTGTAGACGTCAGTCAAAATGCAAACGCTTTCTGGTTCTAGCTTTTCATTTTTTATTTTATTTATTTATCAATTTATTTATTTTGGCAGCTATGGCAGTAAGCTAAATGTATTTGAGTTTTAGACTGTTGTTTAAACAATACAAGCAATGTCACCATGCTGTGGGATGTAACAGTGGTCATTTTTCTTTTTTTATTTATTTTTACATTTAATTAAATACACAACATAAATCTAAAACAGTCACTACAAAATCAGCTGCGTGCTCACACACACACACACACACACACACACACTGTATTTGTACTTCTGTCCTTGTGAGGGCACTCACTGACATAATGGGGCGACTGTGGTTCAGTGGGTAGAGCGGTTGTTTCCCAGTGGGTTGGAGGTTCAAATCACGGTGCCTGTAGTCCACATGTCAAAGTGTCCTTTGGCAAGACACTGAACCCCCAAGTTGCCCCCGATGGTTAGAGCCATCGGTATGAGTTGGTGCCACAGATGGCTTCCTCGGTTCTGTACCAGAAACAGATTCCTTGTGTCTGTAACATACTTGGCCAAATAAAGGTTATTATCCTTATAATGCATTCCCTAGCCCCTTCAGCACTACATGCCGTCCCCTAATACCTAATTCTAACCTGAATGCTAAGTCTTAACCATCAAAAGGCTGTTTCAGAAAGTGAGGACCAGCCAAAATATCCTCACTTTCCAAAAATGTCCTCACTTTGTAGCAAAACAAAACAAAAACATTTTTGGTTCTCGCTATATAGCAAGTACAACACACACACACACACACACACACACACCAAGTCAGAGGTTACATAGCCGATTATTCATGAGACCATTGCATCATTTAAGAAAAACGCACACATTTTGTCTTCATTTTTCCACTGGTTCAACAACACTGTCAATATGAACCGTTTCTGAATCCCAACAGTGGACATTTTTCAAAACTTTCTGACAAATGTACCAATGGATTTATTGACTGAAAAAATAATCTTTAGATAATTAGTTGCAGCAAAAAAATTACAGAACTTATATGTTCCACTCACTCACTTTCAGCAAAGTAGTGCTTAAGATGTGAAGTCAAATTAATACAGGAACCTCTGCGTCCTGCTCAGGTTTTGATAATTTCCCCATTCTGTTTCTTTAGCTCCAATCACCCACCTTTGCAACCTTAACATTTGTAGGGTATTTTTAAAAAAACAGCTAGTTATTTTTTAAATGTGCCATTATTCTGTTCTGGTCTGTCTTTCAGGGCCCTACTGGACCCACATTCTCTTCACATGGACAAAAATGGATGGTCTGAAGGTTTACATCAATGGGACCTTCACTGCTGGTGACACAGCTGGTGGTGTCTCAGAGAATTATGGCGACCCCTACCCTGACCTTGTCATTGGAACTGGCAGCGACAAGGCCTATGGTCACTATGTAACAGGCGCCTTTGACGAGTTTGTCATCTGGGAAAGGGCTCTTTCACCTAGAGACATTTTGCTCTACTACAATGCAGCCATAGGTAGGACATCACACTCCACTGGAAATTATTTCCTGTCATTCTGGGATATTGCATGTCTATTAAAATGTCTCCCCCCTCTTGACTCTGCAATGTGGAAACAGGTTAAAAATGTGTTTTCTATTCTTGTCTGTCTATCCACTGCCTTCATGCATAAAAGCAAGAAATTATTCAAATAAACCCTACTTCCCTCAAGTATGAAATATTTTCAAGACCTTCCACTACATGAGCGCCATGGTTCACATAGTTCTGACACCTTATCAATGTTTATTAAAGTGCAGAGGCATGCTGGGTTGCAGGGGGCACATCATCTAACATGCTTAGACAAAAACCCCAGACTATTGTCTGTTTTTGTTCTCTTGTTGTTTATTTCCTTAGGTCAGTAAAGTGCCATAAATGGACAAAACATGTTGACATTTATAAGAACTTTGAAACAATTTCATGCCCTTATGTCATAATCTATATTACCACATTTCCTGGCAGTCTGATAAATATTCAGAACTTCATGAAATGTACCTTTTTGGCTAGTAAGGTAAATTGTTCTTGTGTTGTGTTTGAAACATAAGTGATGGTGCACTCTGTTTCGTCCATTATGTACAGTGTAATAGCACAAAAAAACTATTACTGTGTATTGCTGTCAACAGGTAACAACAGATGAAGCATAAAGTGTTGACCTTTTCCTCCAGTTGTTACCAAAAGCAGTATATTCCACAGACCATCATAAGGCATAAAGACTGAATGTTATGGTTACAGAAAAGTATTTTTACCTCTCCGCAGCACAC